TGGTTCACTGGTACGAGGAGTTTCATGAAGGCTGTTATTAGTAGGGAAGTTTGTACCATAGTCAGTCCCACTGAGGTCACTGAAGCAAGAAGACTCCCCTCTGGGACTTCTGCTCAAAAGATAGAACTTTTTACCTTCACCTGGGCTCTCTAAATTGCTCATGGAAAAAAAAGTATATATGCCTTTCTCTCTTTACCTGCACATGTGGCCATCTGGAAAGAAAGAGGACTTTTAATTAGTTGTCCATCTCTAGTAAAACACAGACCAGAGATCTTCAACATCCTTGAGGCAATAAATCTCCCTGGACTCTGTTTCCCAGGGCAATTCTAAGGCACATTATGTTATCACCAGACTGCTCTTCAACATAATTCTGGCCTAACAAAAGCTCTACTTATAGTCCCCTTTCAGGAACTTAGTGGAAAGCCAGGGTACTCTCCAATTATTCTTTCCTTACATAAATAACCATAAATCTTTGAATATAGAACCAATTTTCTGACAATCACCCTAAAATGTGACAAATACATCATAATTCTTAAAATGCCAATTGATTCCTTAATCTAGAGGGCATGGATGAGGTGGCCTTGAGGATATTATACTTTGATCTAGAGGTTTGAAAGCCTGATGAATGAAAAAGCATCCAGACCTATGCAAAAAAGGTAAGTATTTGTAGGCTTGACTATCATCCTATGATAAATATATTTGTTATATATCAAAAATACTAATAATGTTTTAAATAATTAGGAGTATTATTATTTTTATTATTGGATTCCCAAAATAAAGTAATTTAGCTCCTGATTTGTAGTTGCTCTCCTCCCATCTCAGCCTTCCACAGTGCTGAGATTACAAGCATATGCCACTATACCCAGCTGGGATTTCTTTTTGGTAAGTATGGTTAAGATATACAAATCTGGGTAAGAACTGAATTGTTCACAATAGTGAAGGAAGAGGCAGCCTTTTCACGTTACTGCTCAGGAACACAAATAACTATTAAATGACTATTAAACTTAAATAGTTAATAGTTAAATGACTATTAACTATTAAACTTTTTAAATGAATACTGAATTACAACTATGGACTCAGAAATTAAAACAGGTACCTACTTAGTAATCTGATATTGGGAGACAAACTAGCAACCTATTTCAGGGTTTTTGTTTTGTTGTACTTGTTAGTCAACTCAGGGCTCTGGACTATATCCCCACCTTTTCTGAATATTGAGATTGAGTTGTCCATGCTGGGCTTAAACTTGTGATCATGCTGTCTCAGCCTCCCTAAGTGCTGGAATTAGAAGCATGTGCCACCACATTAGTCATATTGAAGACATTACTGGCAATTAGTAGAAAACTGAAAATAACTGTGTTGGTCAATCCTGATTGTTTCCTTGACTGGATTAAGAGATTCTTGGAGAGGCTAGTGGGTTATGAAGGCACTAATCTTCATAGCTGAACGGGCTGTTAGGAGGTAGGGCTTAGTTGGAGTGGGTCATAGGGGCGTGAGCTTCAAACTATATCTGGTCCCTAGCTCCTCCACTCCAGCACTTCTGTTCTTTGCTGACAAATGCCATACCATGAGTTGAGCAGCTTTCTTCCACCACTTCCCTCTGCCTTGCTGTTTCTCCCTTGAAGCCACCAAATTAAACCTCTGATATTATGGGCCAAAATAAGCCTCTCCTCCTTTAAACTGTGGGTATCAGGTATTTTGTCTCAGCAACAAGAATATAAGCACAGTATCTAATCAGCAAAGGAAACGTATTGGCTCAAGAAAACTGACAAGGACACTGCAAGCTCTGCTGTACTTCTTTTCCAACCGTTAACTGGCCTATATTCACTCTGCAGAGCGTATTTCTTACCTTTAATAAATGTAGAACCTTTCCAAAAAAGGAAAAGAAAATTGACAGAAAGTCTCATCTTTTATAATTTAATAAATGTCTTAGACTTCCTTCAGGTTGGCCTGTCTTTGAGCATGGGCCTACACTTGATCTGAGAAGGCCTGGAAATGCCCAGTAGTTACTGGATTTAACTGTCTAGCTTTACTTTAGTCATTGGCTAGGACATAAATTATTAACTTAGGCCAGACTGGGACAGAACCTAGACTTGACTGCAGTCAAATCTGCCCAAACTGACTAGTAGCTGCTACATGTGGAGAGAGGGGCAGAATGGACACTTATGAAGACACAGTAGTGTCTTCTCTTGTAGTTTTGTTTATATTGTCCCTTTTATTATGGGTATAAGCTTCTTGTAGGAACCATACTCTATTCTATTCATCATTCTGTTCCCTTAGGTTGGATCTAATTTGGCTGCCAGAGTGACTGCCAAGCAAGCTCTAGTTACATTATAATCTTACCTATTAAATGACACTCATCCAGCATGCTGTCAGGTGACAACTGCTGTGACAACCATAAGAACTATAAAATGAATGAAAGGAGGTGGCACCTAAATTCCCACAAAAATCTCACCCATTCCCAAAAAATACCCTCCCACCTTTTTTAGCAAATCCCTCACTACTTTTTTTTTTCTTTTTGCAGTACTGGAACTGAATTCAGGGCCTTGGCACTGATCTACATCTCTAGCCATTTTTGAGATAGGGTTTTACTACGTCACTAAATTGCCTGCTGGGTTCAAATTTGTGATCCTCCTGCCTCAGGTTCCCAGCGTGCTGGCATTAAGGGCCTGCTCGACCATGCCCAGCCCTCCCACCTTCATTTTGTTTATCCTAAGTCTATAACCTCTCAACTTCCAGTGGGCAAGAAGTTAATGTGAGTTTTATCTATCATTTCTCCTACTCGCGGTCAAGAATAAAAGTATCCTTTGATATTCTAATGGTGGTTGGTCTTCTCATTGGTTCCACAATTCGAAGTGAAAAAAGGTAGTTTGGAGTTAGAAATTAGTAAAGAGATGGGAGGCTGAGGCAGGAGGATCGTTGGGAGTTTGAGACCAGCCTGGGCTACAAAGTGAGCCAAGCCCAGCCTGAACTGCATAGCGAAACCCTATCTCAAAAAGACCAAAACAAACAAACAAAAGAAGAAATTAATAAAGAGATCACAAAGTTAATGGGGAGAAGCACAATGAGAACCTACTCTAGACACTGTTCATTCATTCCTTTATTCAACAATTATCTGATGGGCATTTATCATTCATTACATTCTAGTACATTTACATGTTAAGATAAAATTTTAAACAATTTTATTACATATAATAATCATATAGGGATGGGGATATAGCTCAGTGGCATAGCACCTGCCTGGAAAGCCCAAGGTCCTGAGTTCCAGTTCCAAAACCAAAAATATAAATAAATCATTGATTTAAAAAAATAATCATATAAATACACGGTTAACATGGAATCATGAAGGAAAAGTTCAGGATCCTATGACAGTTCATACAAGAGGATGTGAAGAGACAAAACACAAAAAAAATTTAAAGATTTTAATTGGCTGTTTTTCATGATTCTCAGGAATTCTGGGACTGCAATATGGCCACACAGTATCCAGGTACAGAAAAGGGAGGTAACCTACAGATATGTTACTTGGTTACAGCTTTTTTTTCTTTATTCAGTCAGCTGGCCACTGTGGATCTGATACTCAGAACATTCAGCTGTCTATTGCAAAAGTATACTCTGGTTAGGCTTTCAGTTAATTTATATACTATTATTTCCTTGGTAAGGATTACAGTAGGGAGGGTCTAATTCTTTTTATTAGTACTTTACATGTTTGCAGTACATACCATTCATAGTCATTTTGGGGAGTTGGTACATGTATATAATACAACTTTTTTTTTTTTTTTTTGGTTTTTGGTTTTTCTCTGGTACCAGGAACCGAACTCACAACCTTGCGCTTGCCAGGCAGGCACTTTGCCGCTGAGCTAAATCCCCAGCCCCTATAATACAACTTTTTAAAAATCTCCCCAGCTTTTTCAAAAACAGGGTCTCCTCATGTAGTTTAGGCTGGGCTTGAACTCACTATGTAGCCTAGATTGGCCTCAAACTCGCCGCAGTCTCCCCAAGGGTAGGATTACAGGCGTGGCCACAAACCCCAGTTTAAGGAGGGCCTAATTTTAATTTAACAAAAGATTTGATGTAGGAGAAGGAAGGTCTTTCTGAAAAAGTGACACGAAGGGCGACCTGAATGATGAACAGGAGTCAAGTATTGGAAAGAAAGAATGGGAAGTTATTCATAGCTCGAAAGTCAGTAATTAGCAGTTTAAAAGGATCCTAAAAAGCGCAGAGTACCCAGAATAGGAGGTAGGGTGGGTAGAGGCCCTAGGTATAACCCAAATTATACAGGCCTTTGTATTTTATTAATTTAGGCCTATCCCAGGTCCAATCCACCTCATCAAGGAAATATGAACTGAGAACTCGGTCTAGCGACTTTTCTGACCAGTTTGACTCAGCATTTTCTGTCACCCTTTATCAGCATATTAGGGGTACCATTAGGCTTCCCTCCACATGGCCTTGCCACTTCATCCTTTCCTAGCTATCACATTTCCCTGACCCCTCGACTTTTTATCAGGGCCTTTATGGGCGCTCCTATTTCATTTTTCCCTCAGTCTGCCCCCCCTTCAACTCTGCAATCCATGACCTTCACGTGACCGTCAAGGTCGGAAACAATCAGTCGGTACTTTAAGGTCTTTACCAATTTCAAGAGGTCTTACCCAGCCGGCACCATTAGATCAGTACAATGGCTTACCCAATGTCCATACTTATTGCTAGGCCACAACTATTTGGGGGGACAGTTTTATTTCTGCCTGCTTCCTCCGTCCACAGCCACAGAGTGAAGGGCACCGTGAGATTCTTCCCAAATATTCCTGTCACAAGTCCCGGCCTCTTGGTTTTCTCCGCGGGTTCCCAGACCACGCGGTCGGTAACACGGCCGTCGCAGAGCGGCCTCAGGAACTTCGCAGAAGCCTCCGCCGAGCCGGGAGGGAGGGGCTACGACCCGCTCCCAGCTTCCAGACCGCCAGCCGGAAGCTTGCGCGGAGCGGGCGGAAGGCGGTGCGGGCCCGGCGCAGGAGGGAGGGCGGGCAAAGGGCGGGGCCGCAGTGTGCCGGGGGCGGGGCTCTCGTGCCGGTCACGTGAGGGCCCCGGCGGCGGCGGCGGTGGCCGCGGCGTCTTCAGCGGCTCCCAGTGCAGGATGGTGCTGGAAGCGGCGGCGGCCGTGGTGGCGGCGGCGTTCCTGGCGTCTGCGGGAGGGGGAGCAGTGGCGGCAGCGGTGCCCGCGGGCGGTATAAAATGGCGGATTTCGAAGAGTTGAGGGTGAGCGGGGGCGCGGGAGAGGAGCGCGGAGGCCTTGGGGGAGGGGAGGGAAGCCGCAGCGTCGCGGGCCGCCGCTTTCGCGTTGGGAGCGGGCCGCTTGGCGGGTCCAGTCTCCCGGGCGGCCGCGAGCGCGCGGGGAATGGGAGAGGAGGGCGGGGAGCGGGCCTGGCCCGCGGGCCGCACACCTGGCGCGGGCCGGGAGCCCCGGGAGGGCACGTGGGCCTGACTGCCGGCCTCGAGAGCCGCTGGGTCAGCGAGGGCTGCGCGTGTCCCTGGCCACTCTAAACTCTGCATGCTCGCTACTCACTTGGTGGGAAGACTTTCCTGAGACGTGAAGTTGCGTTTAGGAATTTGGGGGTGATGCCATCGTGTAGTCAGTTCTGTCAGAGAAAAAGGCCCCTTCTTCCCACCAGTGCTTCCTCATGTCGTCGAGAGAAAGCGTGGTCTTTTGGGAACACTGCCTTCAATCCTCGGCCTTAAACCTTGGTGTTTTCTTAGTGGCAGGGTAAGAAATCTGTGAAGTCCGTGTTGTCTTGTGTTGTGTCTGGCTGTGTACTCATTTTGCTCTACTAGAGGGGAAAAAAATTTTTTTTTAGCCTTGGAGCAAGGTCGTAACTTTTTTGTTGATACCTTTTTATAATGGGGATTTTAAAATGGGAGTGTTTTGGAGTTAAACGGAAAAAATATTTTTTTCCCGCCAGACTGATAATCTTCATAGAATTTTTAACTGAAACGAAACTAACTGTGATACATGAGCCGCATTTATTTTGCATGTATTGCTGAGTTGCTGGCAACGTATATGGGATAAAAACTTTTGTGTGTGTGAACCCAGGACTGTCGCACTGAACTATGTTCCTGCCCCTTTTGGGGGGCTCGAACTTGCATTTCTTCTGCCTCAGCCTCCTGAAGTGCTGGGATTTTTTGTTTGTTTTTTTGTTTTGAGACCGGCGTCTCGCTATGTGGTTCAAGCAGGGATTGAACTCACTTTTGTAGCCCAGACTGGCCTCAAACTCAGGACGATCCTCCTGCCTCAGCCTCAGGAGTGCTGGGATTAGAGGCATTCCGGTTAGAAACCCTGAATGAACAACAACAACAAAACAAGTGAAAGTATCGCAATGCAAGGTGGGCGTGAATTTAAAGTTTGCATAACATGGAAGTGTTCTTTTAGGTTTACAGTATGGAGTCCAGTGAAAGATTATTTTGGGGGTGAGGTTGGGGAGGATGTTGGCTGATTAACTGGTCTTTCAGTGGACAGCAGTTTATGATGTATTCCACAGGGAAATTGTTTGCACAGAGCCTGCCATTTTTCCCTCTTACTGTTTCAAAAATAATTTCTAGTAAAAAGAAAACTATGTTAATGTATGTTATGCCTCATACTAATTTATGCAGAGAGCATGATAGTAGGTGAAAGATGTTTGTAGTTTGTAAGTCTTAAAAGTTTTAGTGGTTCAATACATACATCTGTAAAGCTTTCAACACCTGTGGAGCATTTTGTCTTTATAGATTCGTTAGGCCTAGGATGGGTTGAGAAGGCAGAACTTTGAAATTAAAAATTTACCTTCAGTGTTGTCTTAATTTTTGTGTAGTGGGAGATGTATACAACTTTTTCCTACTTCCAGGCTAATTTATTTATTTATTGTCTGGTGAAAACTTTTCCAGGACTTGTTTGAACTTTTATAAATGTTATTGGTTAAAACTTAATATACAGGATTAACTTCATCCGTATAGGTTAGAAAGGGGAATCCATGCTTAGGAACTGGAGAGTGGTTGAAGCCAAAAAAAACCCCTATTTCTCTTTCTGCCTCCTTTTTTTCTATTTCTTAGTTTTGTTTTGCATGTCATCTTCATCTTCCTGTAAATCACCTGTCTGTGAAAATCTTTGAACTTGATAGAACATTGTTTGCTAGTCACAATTGACATCAAATATAACAGAAACTTGACCTGAGAGAGTTTTGACCTGTGAGTTTTCAAGGAAAAGGAGGGTGATAATAGGCTGAGTAGATGGTGGAAGAGTTATCCACTTCTCTTTGTCTTAGCTTTTCTGCGTGAATGTATGTGTTACCTTACATTTATGGCTTAGACACTGGTACAGTGCTTGGTTCAAACCACAGTACCACCAAAAAACAAAACAGAACAGAACAGACGAATTATACTCAGTGCAAATAGTGGTGTCTATATTCATTATAATATAGTGCTTATTACATTCCTGGCTCTGGTCTAAATACTTAATGTATGCGTTCTTATGCTCACAATTCTGTAGAGTAGTTGAGGTACAGAGGATGAAGTAACCTTATCTCTATTATATAGTTTGAAAATGGGAAAAGTGAGCCTTTTTAAGCTCCATGGTCAACCTTTATGGGCTGCACAAAGCTGATGCTGTATTGCTTTGTTCAAGCACCTTTGAGTCTTTGTAGAGCTCCTGGTATTCTCCTGCAATTTATAGAACAAATTAAATGATAAATATCACCCTTCTGTAACATGATGAAGGGAAACAAGAGCTGACTGAAAAACTAATTTAGAAAGGAAGAGAAGAAAATCTAAGCTCTCAAAATGATGTTCTGTGGTTTAGAATATATTCTGATGGTTAGAGTGATGGTCAAGTAAATTGTAGAACCAGGAAGAATTATGGGCTGTCTTTTTGATAGTAGAGGAAAGGACCAGCTGATCCGATCATTTGGCTGCTTATGTTACTGCAGAGAGGATTTCGGTGTCATCCTTTAGGGTCATTCATGTACAAATCAGTATGGGATTAGCATAACAAGAGCAGTTCACATTTGGTTAATGTTGCTTCTGTACTAAAGATTTGGGAATTTTGAGAATGATTTTTGTCCCCAAATGGTTTAGAATCTCCTGTGCCTCTTAGGCGTAGAAGCTGGGTATTGGGTGAAACAACTCCTATAGACTCTTATAGACTATATAGAAACAACTCCTATAGACTCTTAAGGGGTTACTTGATAATTTCAATTTTTGAGACTTCTGTACCATACATTTTGTCTGGTCACAGCAAGATATGATAGGTGCACACTTCGCTGCTTTGCAGCCCAAGTAACTGGTAGGCTGCCAGCCAGTCTTTCTTCCCTTTTATCTGAGAGTGAGAATCAGATTGACAGACTTTTGACAGAGGTCTGCTAGCCCTTGGTTTGGATGTTATGTTGTACAAACTTGAATTGGGAGTTCATTCTGATGGGTTGAGGGAAGGGAAGAGAGAAGTTCTTTGAGAAGGGAAAATGTGGCATGTGTATGCAAAAGATGATTATAATTGTGTGTCTTGTGTTAGAAGCTTTCACAGTGCCAGAGGAAAAATATTACAGTTTACCAGTTGTTTGTTTACAACATCTGTATTAGGATTTGAAGTGATGGTTAGTTTATGAATTGACAAATTTGTGAATTAACTAGTTGTGAATTAAAATGGTACATGAACATAAGGTCTGATAGCCTGGGCTTTTGTGATTGTCATCTTGTTGCCTCTTTCAAAAATAGTTCCGGGTTCCTCTAGGAGGAGGATAGGCACAACAGGTAGGTTTCTGGAACCACTGGTCTATTCAAAGGTAGTTTTCTATCCTAGTTTTTTGTGCTCCTGTGGCTTACTGGTGGGTGGCAGTTGTTCTTAAAATGGTCCCTGCTACTGTTTGGTTCTTTCCACTCAGCAGTGGAGAGGGGATCTACTCTGACATTCTAGCCTTCCCTTTGCCCAAGGATCTCCCTCTTGTGTTCTTCATCCTTTTCTTTCTGTGCATTGAGAGTAAATGAGGATGAAAAATGAAAGACACACACGGGAATCTGGGTGTGTATTTGGGCTGATAAAAGAGCCAGAGGTTATAACTTTGTTCATAATTATAGATAAACCAGAATGTTTACCAAACTGGGTAGGTTTGCCGTTGAATACTAATTTGAATGTGAGAGTTAGGTCTTTCTCACAAAAAAGGCTTAAGTACAGTAATTCTGTAACAAGATCTGCCTAGAGGGCTTAAGTGTTGAGTCCTTTCAATCTACCAGGAATTGCCTTTTTTTTTTTTAATAACTTCAGGTGGCACTAGGATTCAGAGGGAAAATGAGAAATTATTAAGGGGCTTGCGTTTGGAGTTCCTCATCACCCCTCCTTCCAACTGTTGGAGAGGGAAACAGTCTAATAGTGTAGACGTGATATGTAACAGAATCTACTATGTGATTTTCAAAGATACTGTTGGGGAACTTAACTAAAGTTTTCAAGACTTCTGAGGTATTTGTGAGGGCATGTCTAAAACTAGATAAATACTTAAAATGAAATAGACATTTTCTAACAGTCAGTGAACCAAGTTATTCTTAGGTATAATAAGTGCCTTTGCATTTGTTTGCTTTGTAGGCCTGTCCTACCTATTGTAAACATGAATATCTTTTCTGATAAAGCTGATACTTTGCTGACATAAAATACTCCAGTTTCTTTATTCTTAGCATTTTTGTTTTTATTTTTCTGGGTTGGAAATTAGCCATTTATTTTTAGTTTTTAAAGTTGAGACATAATTCACATAACAGAATTTTAACTATTTAAAGTTTTGAATAATTTTTTTTAGTGTATTCTAAAAAACACCACCACTGTATAATTACAGAATGTTTTTTGTCATTCAAAAGAAATGCTATCCTTCCTCTTTCTTAGCATCCATTAATTTACTTTCTGTTTTACTGTTTGTTTGAACATTTGTCTGTTTTGAACATTTTATTTATTTATTTATTTATTTTTTATTTTAGAAATAAAAGGAGGAAAATACTAACAGATCGACAACGTTTTACAAAATAGCAAAGGATCAGTACAGACATTACGGAGTTACAAATAGAGTGGTAGGGAATTAACAATGCTTATTGTATTACATATTGATATATTCAATGTAGTTTCTCATGAAAACACATATAGACATACAAAGCTAATCAACCAATGCCTCACTGACAGTTTCTTTCAGCAAGGAAATACAGGACAGTAGAACACCTGTGTTAACTATCCTGCATATACATATATACAAACTTTCTCCTTTACCTTCTCTTTTCCCATATTCCAGTTATCCTTTACCTATGAGTGCTTTCCTATCAGTTCCCAATGTCTGTCATATCTCCTAGTTTAAATTAACTTTTTCAGGCTTTACACTAGAGAAACAATGTGGTGCTTGCACATGTATGTTTGATTTATTTCACTTATGAGTATGGTCTCTAGTTGTGACCATTTGCCTATAAAAGCCTCGAGTTTATCTTTCTTTACAGCTGAGTAATATTCCATTATATAAAAGTACCACAATTTTCTTATCCAATCCTTAGTGGATGGACATTTGGGTTGCTTCCACATTTTAGCAATTACAAATTGTGCTGCTATGAACATAGGTGCACATACATCACTGTGATAGGATGTTTTTAGATCTTCTGGGAAAATACCCAGCAGGGGGATAGCTGGGTTGAATGGGACCTCTAGACCTAGTTTTCTGAGTACTCTCCAAACTGAATTCCACAGTGGTTTCACCAGTCTGCATTCCCACCAGCAGT